GTATGATTCAGAATGGTATATTGATAGTGTTTGTTCTTGTCACATGACAGGAAGGAAATCTGAATTAAGAGAGTATCGGACTTTGAAAGATTGAGGAAAAGTGAAATGTGGAAACAATGCTACTAGAGAAATAAATGGATATGGCATGATATCTAATGGGGAATTCGCAATTTGGAAGGTAGTTTATGTTGAAGTTTTACAACACAATCTAATTATCGTTTCTCAATTGGTTGTAGGTGCAGGTCTCAAAGTATCTTTTGATGAAGAAGGTTGTAAGGCATGTGGAAGATATGGTGGATAACCTATTGACCCATGTTCAAATCTTGGCACCACTCAGCCCTTGTGGCCATGAAGGTTCACCTGCAGTGACTCCAGGGCATGAGGCAAAGCTTTATGTTTGCAGCGGGGGATTAGTCGGTGCGTGAAAGCTATCCCGCAAACCCTCGTTAGGGAAGTTCCCTTTCCAAAAAATAGTACTTTCGAAGTCAAAAAGGAAATGAAAAACGCATCCTGTCAATCTAAATCTGATTCAAGGGAAACCATTTTTCTGTTTTCTTGCGAAAGCATCTTCAGATGATAGTTGATTGTGACACATGAGGCTTTCTCACCTGAACTTCAAGGATATTAACAAGATCGTAATTGGTGATCTTGTTTACGGACTTCCTCTTCTGAAATTTGAAAAGGAACACTTATGTACTGCATGTGAACTTGGAAAACAAAGTAGAAAGAGTCATTATTCCATAATGAATACCAAGATCATTGAACCACTGTAATTAATGCATATTGATCTCTATGGTCCAACAACTATTGAAAGCATTGGCGGTAACAAATACATTTTTGTTATTGTTGATGATTTTTCTTGATTTACTTGGGTATTCTTTCTTAAGCAGAAATCCGAAGCGACTCAGAATATATTGATTTATCAAGCAAGTTGAACTACAATTGCAAAAGCTAGTCCGAAAAATTCGAAGTGATAACGGTTCAGAATTCAAAAATCATGCATTTGAAGAATTCTTGACAAGCAAATGAATTTCTCACAATTTCTATTCGCCTTACACTCCACAACAGAATGGTGTAGTTGAAACACAAAATCGTTCTCTCTATGAAGCTGCGAGGACAATGCCCGCATTTGCGAATCTTCCTTTATACTTCTGGGCTGATGCTATTGCCACTGCTTGTTTTACTCAGAATTGCTCATACATTAACAAATATTTTTTGATTACTTCATATGAAATTATGAATAATTGAAATCCTAACATTAAATTATTTCATGTTTTTGGATCTAGGTGCTTTTGTTCAATTCAAAAGAACATCGAAACAAATTGGATGTGAAAGCTGATGAAGGAATCTTTTTGGGATACTCATTGACATTCAAGGCGTATCGTGTTTTGAACAAGAAATCAAAAAATATATAAGAAATCTATTATGTTATGTTTGATGACAATTACATAAAGAAAGGGAAATCTCCAGAAAAGTCCTAAAATTTTAGTCCAATTTATGAAAAAGTCCCAAACTAATTTTTGTTTACAGAAAAGCACAGAATACCGGCTAAAACTTCGAAAAAACCCTTTTTGGCCGGTTTCGTAGATTTAGCCGGTATTCTGTCCTTTTTCATTAGTTTGCTCAAAATATTAGGACTTTTCTGAAAATTACTCGATAACCAAAATATTGGGACTTTTTTGAAAATTACTATGGAATTAATGGATATTATTATTAACAAATCATTTATAAACATAAAAAATATTTTTTTTATTATAAACAAGGGAAATACATTTGTTGTTAATTTTTAGAAATAGAATGGTCGACTATGTACTTCTCAATTGTTTGTTGACCACTTCAAAGTCTCTATGTTCTTCATATGTATCGTTGTAGGTGTCATAGTGAGAAGTACTCTATTAGGCGTGACCAATACAAGAGTTGATAATATTTATTAATACACAATCAATAAGTTTCTACTTGCTATTAAGCATGATGCTATATGATCATGTGTTATTAGAAAATATCATTACACGAACATATAGATCTTTCATTATGTTCTTTAACCTAACTACCACCTAACCTCCAAACATTACCCGGTAACAACCATAAAATTACACACATCTATCGAGAGTGAAAAGTAAACTTTGAATGACAATTTAAATAGATAATCAACCTTCACTTGTTTCCATATAAATTATCATTCAGGGTTCACTTTTCACATTTTATAGATGTGTGTTAGCCGATGATTGTTAACATGTAAGGTATGAATGTTGGTTGGTAGTTAGGTTAAACAACATAAGAAGAACACCAACATTAGAGGAATGCTAACTAACTTCATCTCACTATCATACCCACAACAATGCATAGGAAGAACGTAGAGAGTTTGAGTGGTCAAGAAACAATAGAGGAGTACTTAGGCCACCAATATTTTGGTTATTATGTAATTTATAAAAGATTTGTTAATAATAATATCCATTAATTTCATGGTAATTTTCAAAAAAAGTCCCAATATTTTGGTTATTATGTAATTTTTGGAAAAGTACCAAAATTTTGAGCAAACTAACGAAAAAGGACAGAATACCGGCAAAATCTGCGAAACCGGCCGAAAAGGGTTTTTTCGAAGTTTTAACCGGTATTCTGTGCTTTTCTGTAAATAAAATTTATTTTGGGACTTTTTCATAAATTGGACTAAAATTTTGGGACTTTTCTGGAGATTTCCCCATAAAGAAATATCAAAAGGAAGATTGTCAAACTGAAGAAAATTTTCCAACAACAAATCTTAGATTATTCCTCTTATGAATCTATATAACGATTTTCTAAATTTGTTTGATGAACCTGAAAGGGCAATTTCTTCGAAATCAAACGCCAAGGATAATCATGAGGATAAATTACTAAAGATTGTTAACGAAGCTATTGAAGAATTAGAGACTCGTAACGAGAAACCTATTTTGGATACATCTGAATTACCAACTCAATCGAAACCTCATGACGCTCCACTCTAGGGGGAGAGTTCAACTCCAAATATTGATTCAGGTGCTCAACTCCAGAGGAGATTTCAAATCTGAATGATGGTTCAAGTGCAAATTTCCAGGGGGAGAATAATGAAAATAATGAATCAGATGCTCAATCGGAATTTGAAGAAATCATTGCTGAGATTGATCCGGTTTACAATCAAAATTTGCTACCACTGAAAAAATGGACTAAAGATCATCCGTAATCTTAAGTGACCGTAGATAGTTTTTCAAAGGTTCTCACTCGTGCTCAACAAAAAGAAAAGCAAAGTGCTTTATTTTCTAAATTGGAATTTTGCATGTTTAATTCCTTTGTTTCAAAAATAGAACCAAAAACCATTAAAATTTCTCTTGATCATGCAGATTGGACTCATGCGATGCAAGAAGAACTTAATGAATTTGATCGAAACAAAGTTTGGAGATTGATTCCTACTCTTGAAAATGCATATGTGGTTAGTGTGAAATGGGTATTTAGAAACAAGATGGACAAAGAAGGGAATGTTATTCGAAATAAAGCACACCTAGTCATCAAAGGATGCTATCAAGAAGAAGGTATCGATTATGAAGAGACATTTGCTCTTGTGGCTAGACTTGAATAGTTCGCATATTTCTAGCTTATGTTGCTCACAAAAACTTTGAAGTATTTCAAATAGATGTGAAGTGTGCATTTTTGAACGGAGAACTTGAAGAATCAATCTACTTTGAACAACCACCAGGTTTTGTGAATGAATTTTTTTTTGAATCAATGTTATATTCTTGATAAAGTTGTATATGGTCTTAAACAAGCTCCACGGGCATGGTATGAAACTCTAACTCGTTTTCTAAAATATTCTAAATTCAAACAAGGTTTTGTTGATCCTAAATATTAAAATAAAGTTTTGATCCAAAAATTATGTATAAAAAAGAAAGTCGAAACATTTAGCAGAACCATCTTTATAGTTGTTACACACACCCATAAACTCAAAACATGGAACATTCCATCCTTATACCAATTTTTATTTCACATTCACATCTAAAATCAAGAACTCCCTTTTGACTTTTTAAGCCATCAAACCATCCACAGTATTCGAAAATTAAATGAATAAACATATATAGTGGATTCAAATTATGTGTTTCTTAAGAGCATTTTCAATAGTTGACCTATATTATAACTTAAAACTATTAAGATCTCATCGTACTATTAGTTTTGACCTACAAATAAATGATTTCTCCAATAGTTAAGTTTATCTATCTAAAATGTTTCTCTAATGGTTAACTCATCTATATAAAATATTTAATAAAGCATCTTATTTAATTAATCATTTTTTAAACAAAAATCATATCTTAATATGAAAATACAAAATACTACAATATCAAATTTTATTTATATACATCAAATATGAATTTTTTTATGTTTTAGTTATAAAAATAAGGGAAATCTCCATTTTAGTCCTATTATTTTGTCCGCGTTTATGAAAAAGTCCTAAACTATTAAATGTTAACGGAAAAGCCTAAAATACCGGATAAACCGGTGAATTGACCCAATTTACCCGGTTACCACTCTTACAATCGGTGACAAACCGATGTGGCACTATTTTGCTTACATGGAAGCTGACTCGATCATACCTCTCTCTCTCTCCCTCTCTCTCTCTCTCTTACGTTATTTACCTCAGTTTTTACGTTATTTAAGAGTCCACAAACCCTAAATCGACCAAATTGCAAGTTTTGAATATGGCCACCTCCTCCTCCGTCTCCAATAGTAGTGCATATTGGTCAGCCAGGCAAGTTTGAAGAAGGTGCGATTGTGACGAACCAGTTGGCAGGTGGACTTCATGGAAACTAAAGAACCCTGGAAGGAGATTCCTTGGTTGCCCCAATTACAAGGTGAGTGTCTTCGAGTCTTTGAATGTGAGGTTTTATCTTCATGGAAACCGAAGAACCTTATATCAGTTAAATGTGAGGTTTTTATCTTCAAATCTTTGAAATTTCCCTTAAACACCATAGTTGTTACACTGTGCAAAATGTCATCGAATGCAGGATAAGGAGAAGGATTGCAAATTCTTTGAATGGATAGATCCTCCATTACCAAACAACTGGTACAAACAGATGCTATATGATTTTCACAATCAAGGAATTCATGGATTCAATGATGAAGAATTTGAAGACTTTATGGATGAAGATGTGGAAGAAGTAGTACAACAGATTCCTCTGCAAGTGGAAGGTGGAATCGTTGTTAAGGGATGGAAGATTTGGTGTTTGGTTAGTTTAATTGCAATTGTTTGGCTAATGTTATGTAATTTTGGGGTGCTTACTTATGTTTCTATGTAATGTGATGTTTCCCTGTTTCTTTTGGAATGTAATGGTATGAATTTTGGAAAAATTGATCTTCTAATGTAATGGTATCTCATTATGAAAATGCATATTTGGTTTGATTGCAATTATTTGGATTATGGTTGTAATTTTAGGATAGCAAATAACTATAGGAAACTGCATTACAAACCATACAAAAGTACATACCAAACTGCATTACCAAATAACCATACCAAACTACATACCAAAGTATGTCATAGTGTTTGACTTTCCAAAAAATTTACAAAAAGGGAAATTTTTACTCAAAGAGTTATATAAAGCCAACACAATGACTTAATTACAAAAAAATAGCTACCATTGACCTATTCTAAATTAAGTGCTTTGCTTTCAATCATCCCAAATTTGCTGACCACTTGCTTCTTCAACTTCAACTCAATTATCCTCTTTGATGGCTTCCTCCTCCTGATTCGTTGGGTGTTCCTCATCCTACGTTCTTGGGTGTTCCTCTTCGCGATTTCTTGGATATCCTCATCATTTTGAATCTCTTCTTGAACATTTATCTCCTCTTCTTGAACATTGACCTCTTTTTCCTGAACATTGACCACTTCTTCATTGACCTCTTCTTCCTAAACATTGACCTCTTATTGAACATTGGTTTCCTGAATAACAAAACATATAATTTCAAATTTTGTCTTTGATTTGTAATGCCCTTAAAAAGAAACACTCACCACATTTATAGATCCAAACTCCTTCAATTGAGATTCATTAATTCCAAGAGTAGACATTATTTCAGCATCACTGTAGTTTGATGACCTCAAATTTCTAATGAAACTTACTATTATATCCATATCTGATCTATCAATTCCACCCCCTCATCCAAAACATCAGGTTCAACCTCAACATCAGGTTTAACCTCATACTCAGGTTCAACCTCAACATCAGGTTTAACCTCATACTCAGGTTTAACCTCAACATCAGTTTAACCTCATACTCGGTTTTAACCTCAAACTGTGGTCCATTTATACTTTCCCCCATCTCACCTCTACTACCTCTACCACATCCTCTTCCACCTCTTCCTCCCCTTCCACCTCTTCTCCAATGGGTAAGATTAGGATCCAACTTATGCCTTCCCATTTTCTTCTTTGAGTTTGGTTCAGGGATCACCTTGGGATTTTCGCAATACACTTTATTGTGACCCTTTTGCTGGCAGTTTGTACATTGGAAAGTTCTGCCCTTAGATGATACTTGTGAAAATTTGTCCTCATGTTTAGAAACATGCCTCTTTCTCTTGATGGTCGGCCTTCGTGGCATCCTTCTTTCAATAGGTGGGAGGGGCTTTGGATAAGGAGATTCCACCCACATATTGCTACCATTGATTGGTAGTATGTTACAACCATATGTTAACATATATTTCTCTTTACTAAACCAACACTAATGTAGCTCACAGGATCTTGTTGTGTATACATAATGGCAGCTTGGGCATGTACACATGGTATCACGGATACATCCCACAAATTACAAGTACAAGTATACTCTTGTAAGTCAGCACCATAAGAGTAAAAACCATTCCTCACTTCAAAAGCAGTTACCCCGCTAGGATGAACATACCAGGTCCTGTAATTAAGAGTACATCAACATATGAAAGATAATATTAGTGAATTAAATTTTAGGATAACTTACTTTATAGTTTCACCAAATACTTCCATCTTCTTAACTGCTGATGGACATATTTCATTATCCCATTTATGTCTTTCTTCCTTCAGATTATAGAATCTTTGCATCATGTATAGTCGTATTTCCTCAAGCATGGCTATTCGGGGCTTTTTTTTCTAGCATCCACGATAATTGCATTAAAACATTCAACCATTCCATTTTCTACTGCCTCACATGCCAATACTCCACCATAAAAGGACTTGCACCATGAACTGGGATCCCTTGCCATTAGATGTTCATAAGCAGATGGACTAATATCCCTAATCTTTTGCATGTTCATGCTGAACTCCCCTTCAACAGTTGATTTTGCAGCAACCCATAACATATTTTTAAACTCCACACCACTATACACCTTCCTGAAGTTGGCATATATATATGACTGGCACATTGTCTGTGTTGTGCAAGTGGTAGGACTTCCTTTGTAGCCTTAAGAAGCCCCTATTCATAACAAAAAACAATTACATCAAATAACAAAAATAATTACATCAAATAAACTAAGTATGAAGTATATAGTAAAGAAATAGTAAAGTTTTTGTGAAGTACCTTGTGTTGATCGGAAATTACTGCCATACCCCTTCCACCATCCAATTCTAAATCATTTGTTATTAATTCCAAGAGCCATTTCCACTTTAACTTGTTCTCTATGTCAACTACAGCCCAAGCAATGGGATACACTTGATTATTTGCATCTCTCCTAATAGCAGTTAATAATTCTCCCTTACATTGACCTTTTAAAAAAGATCCATGTAGTCCAATAACCCTACGACAACCAACCTTCCATCCTTCTTTTATTGCCTTAAAACAAATATATTCTTTGGAAAGTAGTTGTGTTATCCTGGTTTTGACTCACAGTAATTTTAATTGAGCTACCTGGATTTGATCTCAACAGCTCACCACCATAATCCCATAGTTTAGCATAGTGGTCACCCAATCTCCCTTCTATTAAAGACACGACCCTACACTTTGCTTTATAGCACTTTGACCAGGATACATTGTAGTTGAATCTGCTTTGGATAATTACCTGCATTTCCTTACACTTCAACTTGGGCTTTATAATCAGTTCTTTTAGAAACTGGTTTCCTAACCATGTTGGACCCATAAGGTTGGTATTTCTGTAATTCCTAACACACCTATGTTTGTCAACAAGTTTCTTAATTTGAAACAACCTCTCTGTGTTCATCCACGAAGCCCTAACATTAAATGGACATTGAAATTTTTGTGGATCACTAACACATACAACAACCAGCCTAACACTGTCACATTTCTTAAACTTTATCTTATAACCAGTATAAATAGCATGGTTAGTTAAACATAACTTCAGTTGATGGGGCGATTCATACCTCTCTGCCAGAAGTGGTCTCATCTTGTTCCATTTAACCTTTGGATCATGGGTGTTGTACTCAAACTCAAGCTTAGAATCATGGTCACTTTCACTTGATACTTATTCATCATACCCATATACTTCATCAGACCCACTTCATTCTCGCATTGAGTCAAAATGATCTTCATTCTCCACCACATCATCTTCATTTAAGTCAACCTCGTCGTTGATATGTTTAATTTCAGGGATTGCAAAGTCATCACCTTCTTCACCAGCTATGTCGGGACACAAGCTGTTCAGGAACCCATCATTGCATCTCTTGGTTTGCTTCTTCAAATCCTTGTCTACTTCAACATCAATAGTATCAAAATCCCAAATGTCTTCCATTAGCGAAGCTTGGAAGACTCGAACTCGTTCCCATAGTTGTCGTCTTCTTCGCACGTAAAAAGCCTTAATTTCTCACCATAACTGTGTGTGATCTACCGTTGAAGGAATGAGTGTGTGATTTGGTCGACTCACCTTCCACCTAATCTCATTTAATGTCACATCGGTTTGTCACCGGTTTCAAGAGTGGTAACCGGGTAAATTGGGTCAATTCGCCGGTTTATCCGGTATTTTAGGCTTTTCCGTTAACATTTAATAGTTTAGGACTTTTTCATAAACGCAGGCAAAATAATAGGACTAAAATGGAGATTTCCCTAAAAATAAAATACAAACATTGAAAATATTATATAGTAGTTATAAAAGAAAATATGTTTAAAGTAGAAGAGTGTTAAATATATAAATATGAACCACGTTAAAATATAAAAACAAAAAAATTGTTTACTCCAATGGTGTTAAGTGGTTAATAAAAAAATCAATAGTAATAAGCTCTAAAAATACCTCCCATTAAAAATGCTCTAAGATAAGTCTTCACATTCTTGTCGATTATATTTTAATAGTAAAATATTATTAATGTATCTTTTACATTGTTAACTATTTCCCCAAGCACCTAAATTCATGATGTTACACTACAATTTTAATTTACATAAATTTAGGATTCATTCATCATTTCGTACATGATAATAATTTAGATTTGTATAACCAGAAACGCATGTGAAGTCACATTTGACTTTATTTGATTATTTCTATGTCAAATATATTCATACACAGCATGGTTGTTGACAACTTGACATAATTATAAACAAGGGGAGGATGGGTTAGGCCCTCTATGGATTGTCTTGGGCCTAAGTTTTCTTATTATGGGCTAGAATTTTATATTTCTAACATTTGTTATCCACGTATGTTTATTGCACATAGTGGAAACATAGATTTGGTTAAGAGAAGGAAAAATAAAATGCTCGATTGTTTAATTCTCGTGAAAGTTGATTACTTTTCGAAGATCAACATGATGGTTGAAGTCGGGTTAAAAGCATGAAAATTTTGAGAAGCTTTATAAAACAATACAAATAGAATGAGATATAGATGTTAATTATTGAAAAAAAAAAACTTTTTTTTTTTTAATAGGAGGTTTGTGAAGATATGAATATTAAAAAGGAAAATTTATAAAAAATAACAATATATAATATAAAATATATCACATATCTACTCTAATAAATAAAAATATTTTTTTACCATATGTTACACTCTTATTGACACATGTAATTTTATGGTTAATTCTTATAATTTAATTTTCACCTGTCATTTTGTGTTAGTTTTCAATTTTTTTTAATTAATTATTCTAATTTTAGGTTATAGAAAGTAATTAATGTATCATTAATTTGTTTCTTTATATTTTCAAATTTTCATATGTTTTCCTCAATGTATATAATTCAAAATTGATATGTTTCTTTTAAAATTCATTGTCATTTTAGGCAAAAATGGTCTGCATAGAAAAAATAATCAAACTTTGTTGTTATTCGTTGATAAAACTAAAAAAAGATGGTTAAACCACAAATATGACAAAAATGTAATTATATCTCAAGAGTTAGTTTTATTAGTATAAATTGAATTATTTATTTATTCATCATTTGTTTGTATTTATTTTGAAATTTTACTTTAAAAAAAAAATTAATGTTTACACTTTGATATTTAACATTTTCTGTAAAATAATACTTAATATTTATATCTTAATATATAACTTTTTTAATCAACCCGTGTAGTACAACGGTCTCACACCTAGTAACTTTAATAAATAAAAATAAAAAATATTATATACCTTAATAAATCAAAATCTCATTGCCATATGTCCTATTCTCATTGATTTCGCCACATGTAATTTTTTAAGTATTTTTGACTAATTTGTTTTCCACATGGCATTTTCTTAATTATTTAGTTTTCATTTTATTAAGACATCATTAATTTAATTAAGACACTTCCTTATTAAAATAAATTAGAATAAATTTCATTGATTATGCCAGCTCGAACATGGTTACTTCCTTCTTATATTCGTAACTTCAGTAGTAGCTATTTACATGAGTTATATTGTAAATTTAACTTATTGATATGACTAGCTAAAATCAAGGAATTATTGGATGAATTATTTCCTAAATAAAGCTTATCATTAGATGTTACATTGTTTTTTTTTTATGGAATCAAATCATTAACGATGAGAATTTCCAATCTTCAATTTATATATAATATAATCTGTGTTTGTTTCTATTTGTTCTTTCTCCAGGCTCAACTCATCGGTGTTTTTCTGGACTGTATAATCTAGTACTAATCATCTCCTTTTGTTGCGACATATAGACTTGTAATTTAGTTAATCTGTTATCAAATGTATTTAATTAAACATTGAAAATTATTATGTTTTTTTACCAACAATGTGTTTGTGATACCATGTATAATTAGGACCCGTTAAAATCAATTGTTTTATCGGTTAACATCTTCGTTTTACCCCTAATTGGTTGTTGAACTTAGTACAACACGAACATGTTCTTATCAATCGATACTTTTAATTGATTTCATGATCACCAATGCATTGTACAATGCTAAAATTGAATGTTTTTTTAACATCTTCGTTTTACCCCTACTTGATTATAAATTTAGTACAACACACTCGTGTTCTTTCTATCACCAATTCTTTTAACTAATCTTTCTGTTATTTGAACTTTTATCTTAATATCATTTATAACATTCAACTTTTATTTTTAATGTCACAAACAACAACTACAACAGATTGCCAAGTTCAAAGTTAAACCTTTATTACAATAACAACTCCTTATGAAACACTTAAAAATACTTGGAAATAATATATTTAATTATGTTACCTGTTGTGCCTACATCTTATCTATCATCATTGATTACTAGACATAAGAATTGTGTTTACCATTTTGCATTCCATGAGTCTTTAACAACTTCCAACAAAGAAAGGTCAGAAATTGAGCTTAATGCTTCTCCATGAAAACACAAGCTCTCTGGATCAATGTTCAGACCAGCCAACAACTCACGTAGAGCATCAAAATTGAAGTAAGAAACTTGGAAAATTACTAGAGGAGTAATCTTGCATTTTGCTTCATGAATTATATCAGTGTAAGTTATTAAGAACTTTTTGAGTATAAATTTAAACTTACATAGGCTAATTTTATATTAATTACAATGTCCTTTCCTTGCTTAGTCCGAATTTGGACCATTTGCCACTAATATTTGCTCATATATGTTGTTTTTTTTTTTTTTTTTTTTTTTTTCATGTTCTTATACTTAGAGTTAAATAGGTTGCGTATCTCATTAAAAAATATCACGTATTTTTTTGAAAAATGCTACTTATCCTTGCAATTTATAGCAACGTACTTTCCTTAAAATGTCATTTTAATGTAAAAACAATTTGTAGAACAAAAAACAATTGAATCATTACACATTCTAGTGAGCTCATTTATAAATCATATGTATTCATTTCAAACAATCAACTCGTTGCATTTATAAACACAATCTACTATGTCTATCCCAAAATATCATTTGAGCGTTCATGGAATAATTTACTTCATTTACCTCGGTAAAATATACAACTCTGTTGCTATCTATATACAAATACCCTTGCATCCTACTATGTGATAAAATTTCTCTTGTCCACATACAACTTGAAATACTCAACTTATGAAAGTTTGATGTTATATATATGATTTAATGTAATAAGAAAAAAAATGAAAGTCTAGTGTTTGAATGAAAGTCTAATGTATCTATATAAAAATACCTATTTAGCCTTATAATTTTTTTTAGTGCCCAAAAGTAGTGTGCTATTAGACGGAACTTAAAGTGAAGGGAACTTTTATTTATTTGAGATTTTCAAACACAAAAATTTCATTGCAAATATGTCAATATGAATTCCAATATTGAGCTCACTCATTTCTAAGGGTTTTTTTAAAGGTTTTTTTAGACAAAATGATATTTTTTGATCTTTTTGCCCAAAAGGTGTGAGAATTCCTGTATTGGGCCATCTTTAATTATTTTTTAGTCAAAATGACATATGTTAGTTTTATTGTTAAATGTAAGGAATGTGTAATTCCCAATAAGAGCATGGTTATTTAAAGAAGTTTCTTGCATTTATTTTACGTACTATAACAATGTACTTACAACTTGCTATCATTTCCAATTCCACCTTAAAAAACATTTTGTGTTTGTTTTAGGATCACTAATCAGGTCAAAACCACAGAGTAAAGGGTTAGCTGAGTTTTTGATCTTTTTGGTCAAATAAAAAGTTTTTTTTTTCAACAGTTAGGAAAAATTATGAAGATGACACATGGATTTGCTATGGAAGCATTCATAGAAAATTTGGATCACACTTTCCTTTTTCAAATTTAATA